CCCCAAAACCCCAAAACCCCAAAACCCCAAAACCCCAAAACCCCAAAACCCCTAAAATTTAGAGTTTATTGAATATCTATGAAAAATTCTTCTTGTCCTTCTTTTCTTTCAAGAACCTCTTCCATTTATGCAACTGTAGCTTGGACAAGGACTTATCCATGAGAAGTTTGGAACCTCTGCGTTTAGAATTTCTTCTCTTCCTATTGATGCTCTTGATGCTATAGGATTTCTTAGGAAGTTTTGATGAGTCCTTCAACTTCATTGTTGGCATCAATTTATCGGTCTTTCTGGATCCTTTAGTGCAACTAGCTTCTTCTACTATATATCATACTTATAATTACCTCTTTTCTGACCATAAGAAGAATACATATCAAGGTGTTCTCTAGCAATTCTCTTTTTACTACTCGTCAATAGCTTACGAACAGCATATCTATTCCCACTGCCGCATGCTTGATCTGAGCTGAGGTTATTAATCCTAGCTAAGTCAAACTTTTCAAGACTCTGGTAATTATGCTTAATCAATTGCCCAACATTGGCATGCTTTTTACTCTTAGTACAAGGAAGATATGCTTCCTTTACATTTTCTCTATTAGTATCATCCTCAGTAGTATCCACAAGAGCTTTCAGAAGAAGAGTTTTGTTCTCTCTTCCTCCATCCAAAGAGCAGTGGTTAAAAACTCCCTAAACAGATTTAAAAACTTGCTGAGAACTAGCGATGCTGAGTATTTGATAATAGTATAGAAGAATTATGGACCATAATCGTAGTAGCAATTTTATTTGGCCTTAATAAATTTATGCCTAAAAAGTTACTATTCCTAGACTGTTCTTAGGGACTATTCCATCTTGAAGTACAGTTCCTAAGGATGTGAAAGAAGGGAAATTTGAATCCTGAGAATCTATCATTTAGCATGTCTAACATTATAAGCAATACTGTTTATGGTAGATATAGTTTTGAGTGAAATTGCTAGATTAGGAAGAAAATAAGATCAAACTTTAAATGTCTAAATAATCGACATACTCTTTTAGAGTCTTTTCTAATTTTCGATTTTGGAGATTGAGTCTTCCTTCCCTCAACATTTCTTATGAACTGAGAAACGGATTTAGCATAATTCCCTCAGCTTTTAGCTTCAATTGTGAAATATTTATTTAGGCTGAGAGAGCCTCTTTGATTGCTTTATCTGATACTTTTTGGCTTCGATCAGTCTTCAAACCTCTTTTGCATTATACCAATTCATTGAAAGTAGATGGTCCTCTCTGGAAGAGGAATTACTGTTTCTCCCTCTACTCGAACTGGAATATTTATGCTTTCTATGAGATAATTATCGATGATCCTTACATTGAATTATAATTTCCATCCCTCAGAGTATCCCAAAAAGTGGTGTTAGTAAAAGTTTGATTCGTAAACCCTCCGTTGGTATCGAAGATGTAACTGTCTCTTCCCCCTCCATCTCGCTGATAAATAGCCACATTAGCCTTATTCCCAAGTCTATGCTGGAACAGCCCATTGTTCTTTGTATAATTTGGATTATAGTTATGAGGATGTGTTGTTCAAAAGCCTCCATTATTAGTCATGATATAACTGTCTCTGCCATCACCATGAGGCTTGTATATCCCCACTTTTGCAGATGGGATCATTTTATTTTTAACAATAAAAATTATTTCAGGTTGGTTTATAAGGAAGGGGTTTTGGGGTTTTGGGGTTTTGGGGTTTTGGGG